TTATCAATATTTTTCATGTGCTTTTCTGTAATTTGCCTTTAAGAAAATGATAGATTATAATTTTTGAAAAGTTCTTGTTTGTTACAAATTTTAAGTAAAATCTATAACTTTTGTTTGTTTAAATAGTGTTTTTTTTTTTTTGGATTTTAACATTTCTTGATTATGCACACTAAAACTAGCTCATCTGATTGAGATGATGTTACTTTACAAATTATTCAAGCATAATTTAACTTAAATTTTCTTTTTAATGTAAAAAGTCACACATTAAATTAATTTTTTATTTGAAGCAAACTAAATTTTTAATGTATCTTAAATATTGGAATTTTGGCATAATTTTTTTTTTCAAATTTAAGATGTTGGTTATCATTAAAATCATGTTTTTCATGCATAGTATTATATATAGTGTTTCATTTCTATTACAGATTGTTTAAATTCAACTATATTAAACAATATTTTTTATGAATTTTAGATATGAAAGTCATTATGGATTTTATACCAAATCATTCAAGTGATCAACATCCATGGTTTAAGGAAAGTGTTAAAGGAAATTCTGTATATAAAGATTATTATATTTGGGCTGGTAACAGAACTAGTGGTCCACCTAATAATTGGGTAAATAAATGATTTAAAAATTATTTATGAAGTATTAGCTAGCAATAATTTATTTATTATATCTGTAGCTTAGTGTTTTTGGTGGTTCAGCTTGGACTTTCAACGAGGAACGAGGTCAATATTATTTTCATCAGTTTTCAGAACATCAGCCAGATTTAAATCTTCGTAATCCCTTAGTTAAAGCAGAACTAGAGGCAAGTTTTTAATAACTAAAAAAAACAAATTGAAGATGAAAATATAAAACCAAACTTTTTCATTTTTATAGCAAGTATTGAAATTTTGGTTAGACAAAGGAATAGATGGTTTCAGGATTGATGCTATACCTCATCTTTTTGAAAGTGAAGAACTGCTGGATGAACCAGTTAATGAAAATGCCACAGTTTCAAAAGTAATATATGAAAATTAATCTTTTTAATTGTTAATTACTTATGTAATACACAATATCATTATTAACTTCTTAATAGTAATTTATTTACTCATAAATTGAATATGAAATTTATTCTTTAGGACAAATATGACTATTTGGACCATATTTATACAAAAAGTCAGCCTGAGATATTTACTATCCTTGCAGAATGGAGGGAAATCTTGGATAATTACACACACAGTACAGGAAGTAAAAAGTAATAAAGATTCAATTTATGTATTATATAATTTTAATTTTAAAGAAACCAAAGATTAAGTTCAATTTTCTTTGTGTTAGAATATTGATGACTGAAGCTTATGATACACTTAATAACACGCTATTGTATTATGGAAAAGAAGATGCGCCTTTATCAAATATTCCTTTCAACTTTAAATTGTTAGAATTGACTAAAGAGTCAACAGCTAAAGATTTACTTGAGCATCTTGAGTATTGGACTTCATCTTTGCCAGATTGGGCATGGCCAAATTGGGTGGTAAATATATTTTATATTAACTTTAAAATAATGTATATTACTAGATTTAAATTGATTAATTTTGTGTAGCTTGGAAATCACGATGTTGACCGTTTGGCAAGTAGAGTAGGAGAGGAAGTTTTAGATGGAATCTTCATGGCAACATTACTAAATCGTGGGACACCAATAATTTATTATGGAGATGAATTGGGAATGTTAAATGCCAGAATATTGCCCACAGAAGTGAAGGATGTTGCAAATCCAGTATGTTTTGAAAACTTACATCTGTAAAATTGTTTAAATATTTTTGTCATTTAACTTTTTTTAAATTTAGGATAAGCCACGTGATGTTTGTCGCACACCCATGCAGTGGAATAATAGCACCTCAGCTGGTTTTAGTAATTCCACAAATCTTTGGCTACCAATACAAGACGATTTTGAAACAGTTAATGTAGAGGTATTGCTTGCAAAGATGTTAAAAATTGTTTTTTAAGCTAAATGTTTTTAATCTAATGAGATATTTTGTATATAATGTAAAACACGTTACTTTTTTTTTTCAGAATGAATTACAAACTTCTCGATCTCATCTTAATGTCTTCCGTGAATTAGTAAAACTGCGATCTCAGCCTGCGATTAGGTTTGGTAAAGTGTACTATCTGTCAGAAAAACCAAATATGTTCTGTATGTTAAGAATAAGGAAAGGATCGCCTGGCTATTTAATAGTAATCAATATGGGAAATAATTCTTCCACTATAGATTTTACTAATAGTCACGAAAATCTACCAGATTCTGCAAATGTCGAAGTTAGGAGTAAAAATCTGACTGGACGTTTGGCAGAATCTGGTCATTCGAAGATAAAACTAAAAGATGTGACGTTAGGATCAAAGGAATCAGTTGTTCTGTCATTTGTACCCAAATTTGATAATTGATTCCGAGATTCCTCTGCACGTATTTCTCAACTTTTTATTTTAATTTCGTAAACATTTTATTTTCTTTTTAAATTTTATTTTAATAAAAGATGATTTAGAAGCATTGAATAATGTTTTCAATTCATTATCATAACATGTAAATGTTTTAATTTTCAATTCCAAGTATCAATAGTATAGATAATTTACTCGTGACTAATAATCTGAGTTTTGCTGTTTCCCACACCTTGTTGGTATATTGTGCCAAATCAAAGAGGACGAATTGGTAATTATTTTGGCAATTGGCAGATACCAAATGTATGGAGTCTGCTTTAGTTATTCCCAAACTAATTACATTTTAATTCAAAACATTTAATTCTTTTAAAATATTATTTATTGGTATTGCTTTAATATTAGAGATATTAATTTATTCTTGCTCATCTGCTGGTCAATAATAACAAATAATTGTGGGCTTTGTGTAATAGTTACATTTCCAAATGCTTCAGGATGTACTTATTAAGACGTAGTTATATGATGATGAAAAATAATTCTATTTTATCTTTAAACTATTGAGCCCAAAAGTGAACTAGTTCGTTATTTTGCATAACGATCATGATCTGGAAATGGATAACTGGTGGGTGAGCTGATGGAATTGGCATAATATCTAATTTTTAAACTACATTCGTTTTGCGACAGGTCAAACTTAACGTAAGAGATGTAAAGTTTAATGTAGACGAAGAGAAGAAAATTTGATACTCCATTACTCAAAAAGACTTTCAATTAAAAATGGTTTATTTCATTCACTGCACAAGTGTTTTGAGTGATGGAATACGAAAACACATACAATACAGTAACTTATCTGTTAGGAGGTTGTAAAATAGACTGATTATTGATTTCCCCTTAACAGTACAGAAAAATAATTACTCGATATAAAATTCTAATAAACCAATTGTAATTACTGTACGGTTTAGAAATAGTACTGTATTTCATTGATAGCAATAGTAAAATAATAATCTGGGAAGGTCTCAGCTTTCCTGGCACTCAAGCAGGAAATTAAGGAAACCATTAGGAAGTCCGATAATTTAAATAAGCCCAAGAGGAGTAATTTTATTGAATTGTAAGTTCCTTTAAAAAAATTGTTTTAAACCTTAACTCTAAAGTTAAAACTGTGGGGCACCATCTGTTAAACGTTAAAAATGATTTTATATTTTTAATTATAATAAAAAAGGCTTCATTTTGAGAGTAGAGAAGAGTTTTTAAAAAGAATTTTAAATTAAGTCCGACTCCATTCGAGATACGACCCCTCGACGATTAACCACCAAAATTTAACAGCTGAACGTCCCTTATAGACCGTAAAAGTTATTTTTGGCAAATTTCGTTTCTTCAGAAATGTTAAACGAAATACTCAACACCCTCATCCGGGAAATCTCTCTCCGTTTTGGGTTGGGTCAAAACGCGAAGATACGCAAAAGACTAGGGAGGGTCAAATTTGACACGATTATAATAATTTCCCGTGTTATGTACTGTACAGTACATTAACAGCTGAGAAAGTAAAAGTACAGTAATTCCCCAAAAATTGCAGTTAAAATTGACGCAGAATCGAGTTTGTATGTACTGTATACGTGATATTTTCGTCCAGAAAAATATTGGACATATAAAGCCAAACAATTTAAGATCTGTTTATTTATATCTACAAACATGGCGTCCGCAGAATATTTTCCCGGGGAAGAAAAACGTGGAGACAAATAATTATATCAATAAATTTTTAATTTTTGGAGGTATTTCACCAATTGAAAAGGTCAAAGCGTACCATAGTCCAAGAAGTATTTATTCGATCCAGGAAGGCAAATGCTCCGTTAGCCCCCTTTGCGGATGCACGATGGCAGACGATAGCAATTTGTATTACCAAAAGTAAGAGCAAATAGGATCGACATTATTTTCAAAAAAAATGTTTCATTAACGAGCACTCCCGAATAGCGGGCACATCTACTTAACGAGCATTTTTACAATCCTCGAACCCTTCAAGTAGGACATCTGTTATATTTACTTATAAATAACGGATGCCATAACCAACCTTACGAAAACGTAAAGTTCTGCCTTCAATATTCTGATCAAATTAATTGCGTACGAAATATTTTATAACTAAAAGGATCGGTTTAAATATTCTTTCAGAGGAGGAATTTTGACCGTCTGCGTCGAATAAAGATGCCGAAAATAGGAATGGAGTAAGGGCAGGTTGTAAAAAGCCAAACAATATTCTTTATCTGTTAGAAAACAATCAACGTAAGAGTGTTTTGTCATAGTTTTTATGCGCCATTTAAAGTGTCCCGTCCGATCTGTTTGCTATTTAGAATTCAATTAGAACGAGCAATTATCTATTGTGACGTGACATGGGTCAGAATGCCGGGCTACAATTTTTAATCATATTTTTAAATTAATTTAAAATATATGCTCTTTAAATCAGTAACGGCTTGCCCCTGTACGGTTCAGTAAATGATACTTTTCTTTTAACAAAGTCGTGCCAGTCATTTATAAAACACCTTACTGGGTAAAATTTTTGAATTAAAATATTATGACTTCCGGTTTGCATCGGAAGTTCATGTATAGTTAAATCGGGCCTATTGCCCCTAAGTTTCCCATATCTGGTCTCGTTTTTCATCTATATAAGTCCGCTCGAAATTAAGAAAGACAGACGAAATTTAATAGGTTTACTGTAGACTCGATATTTTATTAATATTCGTAACATGACTCACACACAAACAGATGGTCCGGAATACCCATTTTTTTACAAATCTTGCACCATCGTTTGGATTTTTTATCACTCGATCTAGGACAGATGTGACATCGACCCTGACTGGTAGATGGTTGTGACTCGGGCCATCTGGACGTTTGTCTGTTTTTGAAGCAGCTTATTTGCTCTATTTCTTAGATCTTTTGGTAAACTGCAAAGCTACTTCTACATAATTTGCGGTTTTATTAATTTCCAACTTAGCATTTCAAGAAATTTACTTCGTTTGCAATTATCACCAGTAGCAAATTGTGATATTTATATATAACATAGGTGTTAATTGCTACAATATTCAGCAAATTAAAAAACATGACCAATGGCCATCGCCTAGTAATTCTGGCCACATTGTTTCTTTCACAATGTTGGTCCACAACATCTACGCCAGTTTTAGTCATGTTGTAAAAATGTTATAATTTCTGGTTTTTGTGTCTCTCCTGTGGTTTCATCTATCTTGTCATCAAAATGCATTGATGATACAAGCAAGACAGCTTTATTTTTTTAGGGCAATAATACACCATTGTGCAATCGCTTTCTAATCCAAATATTGAAGAGTATTGTGCTCGATTTCTCCGAGATAAAAATTCTGCTGGCACCTCCCGCCAATATTTGGCGTACTATTTTTACGTATTGTGCCTACATAGGTGAGTTTCTTAGTCTTAAGGGCTTTTACTAGAGAAAGACTACTGAACCAGTTATCCACTGTGATATATTTCGGTTCATTCCCTGTACAGGCGTTACTAATCTCAACATCATCTTGAGCAGTAGTGCTGAAACAGTAAGGCCCGTCAGGCTGCTTCCCTACATACGGTTCTAAACTTACAGTGTATGCCGTTTTCACATCACACAAAGCAAACATTTTTAGCCTATATTTTGCTGGTTTCTTCGGAATGTATTGCCGAAATGAGCACTTGCCCCGAAAAGCTAATAGCTGTTCGTCTACCGTAAGGTACTCACTGGGTGTGAAATACTTTCTAAAGTTCGTTAAAAACATTTCGAGTATTTCTCTAATAGGAACCAATTTATCTATCTTTCTTCTCTTGTCTCTGTCAGTAATGTCATCAAATCTTATACATCTTAATAAAGATCGAAATCGCTTTTCACTCATGCATAGGTAGCATGATTCTAAACCATTTCCCTTCGAATTGTCCCACATCTTGTGTGCGTTTTTTGTGGAGCTCCGTATACTCCCTATTAAATATAATAATCCTACAAAAGCTTTTATTTCTGTGGGATCTGTATCTCTAGCGGGATATCCCTTTCCCGGTCAAATAAGCCTCTTATCTTTGAAATATATATATTTGTATATTCCACAATTGCATTTATTATGTTTATGCCAAAAAATAAATTGAAGATGTCTATCTCTGTCGTACAGTTACGTGCCTCATTTTTAGGGCCAGGTAAGTGTGTTATTATGTTCAGTAACCTAGTTCGAACTCTTTTGGTGGCGGCTGTTTGTTCCATTTTGTGTACTCATCTTTACCTATATAGTACCTTGCATTTGTAGCTGTCTGATCTTCATCCTCCTCTTCCATTTCCTGCTCTGTATCCGTGTCATGACACTTATAGTTAATACATCCACTTCTCCATCGTCAGATTCTTCTGGGTCACCTAAATCTTGCTCGTCTTCTTCCTCTTCAAGCCACTTCAGTAACTGCTGGGTATCTACTGCAGCTTGTCGTTTAGGTCTCTTGCTACAGCTGCTTTGTGCCATTGTAACTGTTATAAGAAAAACGAATAGTATAACAAACAGTTTATACATGAAAAATATGCTGATATTGTATAGTAATTTGTTCGTACTTATATAATATAAACTTGTTACAGTTTACTAATAACAATCAATTTATAAAACCTATTACAATTTTATTTTACATATACTGTACGTAATGTTACGTGTCTAAAATTAAAACATTGTTAAATTTAAGTATTAAATTATTTTTCTATTTACACTACATAGATATGTCTACATTCTTTCGAATGGAAAAAACTGCAGCATTTTAAAATCAATGGAGAGCCTGAAAACTACCTACACTTTAAAACGCATATCCTCTCGTGGGGGGAGGTTGTTTTTCAAAATCTAGGTGAAGTGTCTCTGCTGAAAGGGGCGGTCAGTTTTTATAAATTTTACTTTATCGATGATTTACATTTGATTCTATTTATATGTTAATTACACTAATACAATAAGAGTAGACTGTATAACCGATTTTTACCCTATTAAATGAACAGTTATATAACGATGTTATATGTATGATTAAAGTACTGCAATGATAGTAAAAAAAATGTCTAAGTACTAGCATTAGAAAAGTAAGTTGAACTTCGACCTACAAAGACAGAACCGCACAACTCC